CTGAACCATAAAAATCATAGGGAATAACATAGAGGTACATTGAATTTAGTATGGAAGTGATAATAAACTGGGGAATAACAGGTCAGTCCATGAGGTAACAGTCCTTTCAGGCTCCATAAACATCTCTCCAAGCCTGAAATCGTTCCCAATCCAATTTTCTGTCCTCCTCATCTCCCCCTTCTTTGTTTTCGGAAACGGTGTTGACGGTAAAACTTTTCAGCAGCAACTTGCAGATACATATAATAAAACAAGGCAGACAGGTTAAAAGTGCGATGAGGGCACACATGGAGAGCACAACCATGATTATTAATTTATTTGACCATTTGGGGAGCGAAGGAAAGTGTAACCAATCAAATAATCCATCCAACCCCTCACTACGGGAATCAAATTCTTTAATTGATTAATACTCTGATGGATTGATTGCGAGTGATCAGAAAAGTTCATGCAGCACATGCCTTCGAACTCCTGGCACCCATGCCCGTGTGCCAGGAGTAAGAAGTCAATGGCTGCATGGTTTTGCAAACTGACTTCTTTTAATTTCTAGGTATCTGCTAGCAGGCCTTCTATAGCTGCTGTGGTAGCATTGGCTTCTTTGGTAAGCCAGCAGCTGAGGTGGGTTAATAGGGATAAGGCATGGGCTGTTCCTATCCCCGGGATCGGGAAGGAAGCCCAGAAGTTTTCATGCGGGACCAGATGTGGATGTTGGAATTGTAATCTGCAGGAAAGGGTAAGGGAGGTGGCAGAGTGACGATTCCAGCATCCACACGTGGTGGCGCAGGAGTGGGAGGATTAGTAGTCCTTGACTTTGGGCGTGCAACCTTATACGCAATAAATGATCTTTCAGACCTGCTGATGGGGGAGGGTGTTGGTTTCTTTGGTTTAGGAAATATAAGTGGTGTGCCCACGGCAAAGGATAAGGATCTTTTGACTTGATTCTTAGGGGTAAGGGACTGATTTAATACTTTAAACTTTGCTGGATTAAAAAGTGCCAGTTTTCCTACTGTGCAGGGACCTCTCTCTGGGTATGCAGGAATACCCTGCCACGCTCGATCCCCTCACAGAAGGAAAAATCCTTTGGGTAGCTTCATATTCCTTGGCACATGTTCTGTAGCCACAGTAGTGGCTATTGAGTTGTTACACCACAGCGAGGGGGTTCCCTGGTAAATTGGCCTGTTAGCAGATACATTGAGCGGTGAGAATAGGTTTGGCTCTGTGTAGCTGTGGAATAGGATACAATTACTAGTGGGGAGAGAACCAAGGAGGTCGATTTCTTGGGGTGGATCTGAAGTGAAAACCTGGCGTGAAACAACTTGTGCCAATGTAGTGGAATTCAGTGGAAGTATCCCAGACTCCGGGTTTGAGATACAAAGGTGTTCCATTCCTTACCCGGAGTTACAGGGATACCTACCAGGCACGTCTGAAAAGGGTTCCCAGCGCTGGACAAGGCCAGGCACAAGGTGTTCGTACCGGTGGCCTTGGCCAATGTTACCCACGGGTTTTCAGCAGGGTGCTTCATCCACTCCCTTAATGGGGTTGAGGTAGAGGTGTTGAAAGTCAGTCCTAAGGTGACGATAGTGATGATACAGGCGCGGAAGGTCCACATCTCGTATTCGAACCCTGGTGAATCCGTATCCTTCTCGCTGGGACCCACTTAGGCCCTGTGTCACCTGAAATACAAGTGTACCCTTTCCCCCATGTAATCAAGGGAAAAGGGCCTGTCCAGATTTCTGTTATAGGATCTCTGTGCATCACCTTTGCCTTCTGGGTACCTTGTGCAATGTTGGATTTAAAGTGCTTGTCAACAGGACTTCTGTGTGAGTGAGTTTCTGATTCCTCCAATCCAATCTTTCCTGGGGCGTCATGCCTGTACTCCCCCTTCTTGGTTTTTTTACTAATTTTTTTATGTTTTGATGTGCTCTTTCTACTATGCCCTGTCCTGTGGGATTGTGTGGGACCCCAGTGGTATGGTGTACCCCCCATTCTTCAAGAAATATTCTTGTGTCGGCTGAAACATAGGAGGGTCCGTTGTCAGTTTGTATTTGCTTAGGGACACCCATCCTAGCAAACGCAGATAAGAAATGTTTTTTCACATCCCTGCTTTTTTCACCAGGATGCACGGTGGCTACAATAATTTTTGAAAATGTGTCAATAGACACATGCACATATTTTAATTTTCCAAATTCTGGTATGTGTGTGACATCTGACTGCCAAATCTCCAATGCTGTTAATCCTCTAGGGTTAGCTCCTTCTGGAACTAATGGAGCAACCATTTGGCAGTCAGGGCACGCTTTTAGAATTTCTTTTGCTTGTGCCAATTTTAGACTGAATTGTTTCTGTAACAACCGTGCATTTTGGTGAAAAAATTCGTGGGAGATTTTCACCTGTTGGTATAAATTAGGGGTAACGACCATACCTGCTAGATGGTCAGCAATCTGGTTTCCCTCTGCTACAGGACCTGGCAAAGTAGTATGAGACCTCGTGTGGACAATATAATATTCAAATTTCCTGTTCTGAATTAAAAATAGCAAATTCTTTAGCAGATTAAAGAATTTTTCATTTGAGACTTCTTTTAGGTATGAATTTTCAATTCTTTTAACAATGCCCACAACATAAGCCGAATCTGACACAATATTAATTGCTTCATTGTTGAAAATTTCAAAGGCGCGAACAACTGCTGACAATTCCACGATTTGTGGAGAACCTTGGGCTTTGTGAATATTCTGTTGCCAATTGCCATTTTCTCGCCAAACAATTACCACATTTCCGGTTCTCCCAGACCCATTGGTGAAAAGCGTTTTGGCATCTTTTATTGGAATATCTGATTCCATAATTTTCAATTTTAAAGGAATTGGGATCAATCTCTGTAAAAATTGGCACGCCAGGAGGTGAAATTTGACTTCTCATGGGTAACCCCCGATGGCAATCTGAAAATCTGTGGAATTCTGCATCAGTTGTTCCAGATGTTCAGAAATCAGTGGGAGCTAAATGCAACTTGGCTCCTCTCCACTGAGTTCCAAACACCTGGTGCATCCTTTAAAAATCAATTTCCCAATCATTTCAGCCAACGTAACAATGGTTTTTGAGAATTGATGTGGGAGGAATATCCACTCCCACAAACAGAAGTCCTTTGTATCATGTATGAATTGGCCCAGAATGGCCAGTGGTTGTCTCTGTTCTCTGATGATGACTAGTGAAGATGGCAGTCCCTCCATCTTCCTATATGCCTGTCTCTCTGAAATTTTCTTTTCAACTGTGGAAAGGGCTTTTTCAGCTTCAGATGTTAAAAATCTGGGGGAGGACAAGTCTGCATCTCCTCTTAGCAGCTCAAATAAGGGATGCAAATCACCGGTTGTGATCTCCAATACCGGTCAGATCCAATTGATCGCTCCCAACAGTTTCTGGAGTTCATTTAAAGTTCAGACTTTTCTGTCAATCAAAACTGATTGAGGTTTAACAGTTTTAGAAGTAATTTGGAGTCCGAGATACCTCCATGGTGCTTCCCATTGCACTTTCTCAGGGGATACTTCCAATCCTTTGGAATTTGGGGCTGAAATTGTCGAATTTAAAGTTTGTTCAACTGCCAGTTTTGTTTTGGCACAGATCAATACATCATCCATATAGTGGAAGATGACTGACTGTGGGAATTTTTTCCTAATTGGTTCCAGCACTTTTGCCACGAACATCTGGCATAGTGTGGGAGAATTTTTCATCCCCTGAGGAAGTACCTTCCATTTGAACCTGTGATGGGGTTCACAAGCGTTGATGGCCGGGACTGAGAATGTGAATTTAGTCGAATCAGCTGGATTGAGATAAATATGAAAAAAACAGTCCTTTATATCAATTACCCATAGAGGCCATTCAGCAGGGAGCATAGATGGAGAAGGCATTCTCTGCTGGAGGGCTCCCATTGGCTCCAGGACTTCATTTACTTTGCACAGGTCCTGAAGAAATCTCCAGGAACCTGAGGGTTTTTGTATCACAAACACAGGAGTGTTCCAGGGACTGGTGGAAGACTCCAAGTGTCCTTTAACCAATTCTTGATTAACTAGGTCATTTAGAATTTGCAGCTTCTTTTTAGGTAGGGGCCACTGATCTACCCAAACAGGGGATTCGGTTTTCAATTCAGTTTGGGCAACTGTCCTGCTCAGTGACCCCCCCTAAAAATTTTCTTTCATTCTCAGACTTAACTGCCACTGTTCCATGGTGTCCCGACCCCATAGCATTATCGGTATATTAAGAACATATGGCTGCAGAGATGCCGACCTGCCCTCTGGCCCATATGCTGTTAGTACCTCATGACTCCTGACAGGATGTTGCGAACCTCCCATACCGCTTACACTGGCATCTGGACTGAGCCGGCCTGCCGCACGGCCAGTCTCTTGATGCTAGGATAGTTACGTCTACTCCTGTGTCTAGCAATCCCTCCACCTTAATTTTCTGCGGATGCCTTGGTGCTGAAAAATAGATGACACAGGTTAAAAGAGGTCGTGAGGTCCTCACTGAAGTTGCCCAATTGGCTTCCTTCAGTGATTCATTCCTCTTTTCCTCATCCTCAGACATCACGCAGAGAAGATCATCAGTGGAGATCATCTTACCGACAGGGAATCGGTTCTCTATCTGTACAGGTGGGAGAAGAACAATTAGACACACAGTGATGTTATCATTGGAAAGCCCTGTCAGAAGAGTGGGAACTACAACAACACCCCTTTCCACAGCTGAAAAGTGAGAGATAACCAAGTAAGTTTTATCTGGATGTACGTTAGCAGATGGCCTGATCCTGGCCAGTTGCTCATAGGAACTAAGGTGGATCGAAGGGTGTATGACTGATGGGATAATCCATCCCAGTGGGGTGCATTGTTGTTTAACGGGAACTGGGTCTGGTGGAGGCTCTCGCACTACAGGGTAGCTGGGCGCGGTGCTGGGCGCAGGATGGAACGGAGCTGAGAGGATACTTGTGTCATTGTGCCCCCCTGAGCGCTCTGCCTCCCATTTCCCGAATGCTCACAACAGCACAGATGAAGATCTGGTAGAGAGCTAAATGTAACTTTCCTCCGCAGTCCTGGGGATTTCCTGGGGGGAAGGGGCTCGCCATGAATTTTGGTTAGTGATCTGCATTTAGAAGAACAATGGCGGTCCTTCCTGCACCTCCGGCAGAGTGTTTTTGGAGCGTTTGGCTCAGTCATCAACTTTGGGCAGTGCTTCTTAAAGTGTCCTTTCTGCCCACAATTGAAACATAATTGTGATCCGGTGAGAGCAGCGGCTAATAGACATGCTTTATGGGAGCCAGAGCCGATGATTTTACAAACGTCAATCATTTCAAGCAAGGAAGGATCTTTTAACATTTTTAAAGCTTTTTGGCAGTCCTCACTTGCTTTTTCAATAACCAATTTATTAAATAGAATACCCTGACTTTCCTTCTGCTGGATTTGCTGGCTAATTGCCTCTTTTAATCTCGTGATGAAGTCCACAAAAGGTTCTTTTGGGCCCTGATTGATTAATGTAAAAGAGGGGGTCTGGACATAAGCGTCCGCCACCCTCTTGACTGCCTCCATCGCCAATTCTTTAGTCACATCTAAAAATTTGGGTTTAATTCTGGCCTGATTGTTCCTCCTTGAATAATTGCCCTCACCATAAAGCATGTCTATGGCCTGTCTCACCAGTATCCCGCTTCTTTCCACTTTCTCATTGACATATGTGGTGATTAGCTTTTTCCATTCTGTCTCGAAAACAGATGATTGCACTGTAGAAAAAAGCCCGTTCACCACTGCATGAATGTCGTATGAAATTAGTCAGTAGACTAGAAAAAATGATTCCAAAAGGCCGATTGTAAAAGGGGCTCCCAACCCGTATTGCACTATTGCTTTTTTGATGTCTTTTAGCATCGGGTAGGAGATAGGCCTCCACTCCGGGGCCTTGCCGTCTTCCAGATACATAGGAAAGGCCTTGAGAAAGTCCACGTCATTTGCTTGCGCAGCCTCCTCCCTGAAGGCTTTCCAGATGTTAGGGTGGTTTGACCGCCTTTCAGGGGAGTGCTGCAAATAGTCTGAGTCCGAATCAGAGTAGCGGCACATAGGGTAGGCCTCGGTGATACAGGCCCTATGGGCGCGGTCCATGTTGCCAGAAACTGGACTTGCTCTTTGGCCTGGCCCCGCCCCTCACTGCCCTTCTGTCCCTACAGAGAGGTCTTTCTGGGGAGGAGGCGGAGCTGGAGGGAGAGGGCATGCGTGTGGGCGTGTTGAGGGAGGGATCTCTGACACGCGCAGGTGGAGGCGGAGGCAGTCTGGAGGGTGGTACCAAGGGGACCTACCCTCTCTTTTCCCGCACTGGTGTCTCCCGCGGCAACTTTTCCCGCCTTCGCTCCTTGCACTTTCTGCCTCCCTCCTTCCCGATGGCATTTTGTGCACGTCGTGATGTGGTCTTTTCTTCCCTCCCGCCATCTTATGTCTGCTGAATCTTGTGTGTCGTGGTCGTTTTCGGTTTGGTAGTGGATATCTCATGGAGGCTGTCATCTGTGTTCATCATCTGGTGCTGTAGCACCCTCAGAACAAGCCTCCAGGCAATTAAGGCTTCTTTTGCTGTCCAGTCCCCCCTGTCATTATCTTGCCATAAGCTATACTCGATGGCCTGCCACTGGTCCACAGAGGTCTCCTCTGTAAGTATGTGACCCTTGTGGTCAAGCCACTTGGCGAGTGCTTTGGAGGATTTTTTATTGAGGGGGTGATCGTGCTCAATGATAAAATCTTTCAGACGTCTGTAGATGAATTTCTGGGAGGTGGACAGCGAGAGTCCCATGGTGTTACAGAGACTTCTGTGATTGTCCTTGATGTTACTATTCCTCCCTTTTTTCTTTTTTCTGGATGTGGGTTGCTGGGGGAAGTGGAATGTCCCCAGCTGCTCACCTCTCTGGTGCTCCGACCCGTGCGACTCTGCAGCCCACAGTTGTCTGTCCAGCTGGGGGGGACCGGCAGGATGATCACCTCTCCTGGTGATCTCTGAGCCCAAGTGAGCAGGCAGGAGTTCTCGCAATATGAGAGACCTTCAACTGCACCCCACGTTGGGCGCCATCTGCCACGGCCCGAGGGTATAAGGGATAGGGACGCGGCACCACACAAAAGGGTTCAGATGCAGTTGAAAGTCTGGCTGCAATGCTGATTTATTAAGAGAAGACAAGGACTTGTATAGGGTAAGGGTGAGGGGAGGATTCATAACTGGGGCGGAGCATGG